CATTCACAGTCCATTGCCTCTCAGCAAGGATGCCAAGACACTCCAACAGGGAACCAAGCGCCTGTTCCCGAACTGGTGCCGGGACCATCGGATATCCACCTGCAGTTCACGGAGGCCGCTCCTCTCTCAGCCACACACAGAAACCAGCTCGAGATAGGCCACCAACCTCAATGCGGGAGTGCAGACTGCAAAGACCGCTGGCAGGACATCAGGAACAAATCGTGACCTTGGGTCCAAAAACGCCTCCTTAGATAGATCATCAAACGCACAAACAAAGGAATACATAAACTGGACTTCATCAAAGTGAAAACCGTTTTCCCTTCAAGGACACCATCAAGAAAGTGAGATGATAACTCGAGATGGGGTGAAATGTATGCAAATTATATATCTGATGAGGAGGCGCTTATATCTGGAATAAAAAACTCTTGCAGCTTAATGATAAAAAGACAAATAACTGAACCGAAAATGAGCAAAGGATCTGGAGACATTTCTCCAAAGCAGATATCCAAATGGCCAAGAAGCGCACAAAAAGTCACTCAACGTCATTGGCCATCGCGGAAAAGCAAATCAAAATGCCACTTTGCAAGGAAATTAAAAATATATGTTGATGCAAAATCTTGAACATGAATGCTCAGAGCACAACTATTCACAATAGCCCCAGAGTGGAAACAACCCCCTGGCCATCGGCTGGTGAATGGACAAATAGAAGGTCGTCCGACATACGCAGACTATTCCTCAGCCTCAGACAGGAATGAAGTGTGATACACGCTCCAGTATGGACGCACCTCAAGGACATTATACGAAGTGATGGAAGGCACAAAAGAGCACACATTGTGTAACCCCATGAACATGAAATGTCCAGGCAAATCCACAGAGGCCGATAGCAGGTTAGTGTTTGCCTAGGACTGGGGGGAGGGGGAGGGGATATGGGGTGGAGGGCAACGGCTAATGGGTACAGGGCTTCTTTGGGGCAATGAAAACCTCCTAAAAGTGGTCGCACAACTCTGAATATGCTGAAAACCACTGGGTTGTATACTCTAAATGATTGGAGTATGTGAATTCTATCTCAATAAAACAAGTTATTTTAAAAAGAAAACACGGGGCCGGGGGACCACCAGATGTACTTAATAAAAACCCAGTAAAAAAAAAATGCCCTAGCTGGTTTGGCTCAGTGGATAGAGTGTCAGCCTGCGGACTGAAGGGTCCTGGGTTCGATTCCAGTCAAGGGCACATGCCTGGGTTGCAGACTCCATCCCCAGTAGGGGTGTGCAGGAGGCAGCCAATCAATGATTCTCTCTTATCATTGATGTTTCTATCTCTCTCTCCCTCTCCCTTCCTCTCTGAAATCAATTTTTTTAAAAATCAGTAAAATACCCTGGGAAAACCCCAGCTATGCAGGGTTCATAACAACTGTTTCGGGGGTGGGTGCTGTGTCCCCTGGCCCCAGGTTTGGGAAGCATATGATGTGCTTCGGTGCCACTGCAGCCTCAGGTTCCAAAATTCTACCTTCATGTGCCAACCTCACTTGGAAGCCTGCAGAAGAGAGGCAGGAATCCTGAGATGGGACGTTTTACTAATGCCGATCGATACTTTGCGACTTCCGGTAGAGCAGAGAGGTGACATGTGGTTGAGGCACTACCCCTGCCCCGCCACCAGCGCCGGGGTGGCCTAGGCAGGCGGTAGCACCTCTGGGCTTCCTTATCTGGCAAAGGGGGAATGGTGTGCCCGCCTAATGGAGCTGTTGTGCCGGCTCATTAAGCTAACTTATGAGGAGCTTAGCACAGTGCCTGGCGTATTAGTAAATGCTCAATGGAGGGAGACCCCTGTGGCTGGGAGCAGCGAGTGTGGGATTCAGAGTCAGACAGCGGCTCCTGCTCGGCTCCCTCCTGGCCCAGTTCCTGGTGTTGGCTGAATTGTTTTCCCCAGAAAAGATTTGTTGAAGCCCTAACCCCCAGTGCCTGTTGGCGTGGCCTGACTTGGAACTAGGGTCTTTGTAGGTGTAACCACGCTCAGAGGGGCCTATTCTAATGTTTTCACAGAAAAGACATTCTGATCTTGTCTTTCCTAGAAAGGATGTTCAATACCAGACCATCCTTGCCACAAATGGAAACCTATCTGGATTTGGACTCAGGGCTGCTGGACTCCTGGTCCAGTGCTCCTTTCAGAGGGATTGAGAGGGGCCCTGGGTCTCAGAGGATGGGAGAAGGGGCACAGCCATGGGGACTGGGGCACGGCTCGTTGTCCTCCCAGACTCCTACAGGCCCAATGGAAAAGGAGCCCCACCTGACTGTCTGAGTTTCGGAAAGCCAAATGCTCCTAGTGAGGCCTCGGTCCTACCCAGGTAAGGCCCCCTCTCTCTCCACTCTGCACCCCACCTCCCACCGCCCATCGCTTTCTGGTGTTTGAGTGACGAAAGGTAGGGATGGTTCCCTTGGGAGTTCAGAGTTGCCTGGTGGGACTGTCACTCACATGGGTGAGCCCCGGGAAATTTCAGAGCCTCTGCTCCCTCATCGGTAAAACGGGGGTGACCATGCCTGCCTCCGAGGGCTTTCGTGAAGGTCACACGGTTAACTGTGGGTTGACATTCAGCACCCAGTGCTGGGCACACAGATCCGTGTTTGGCTGGACGTGGCCTTGAATGTCAGCTGTGGGTTGGAAGAGCCCCCTCGGTGGTGACAGCTCTGCCCCGTGACGGTGGCTCAGAAGCCCTGTGCTTTGGTCTTCTGGTGGCACAGGGTGGAGCTGTCTGGGCCTTGCCACGTTTAATTGATTGTAACATCGCACCCTGAACATGCTCTCCCACATGCCCTGCACCCCAAGAAGAGCCTTGGCCATGCTCCTGTGACTGTGTGTAATGCGTTCCCGGGGCCCAGCATGCAGCTTTGAAATTGGCTTACGATTTATCTGCAGCTCGGATAAAAACATTTTAATGACGGCGTGCGGCACGAACCCTCGGTGTCCCCCATGGGGCTCCCAAATGTCTTTCCCCACCATATAGCGGGGCTGTTATAGGCGTGAAATTACAGCCACTCTCGAATTTTGATCTCTACCCAGAGGCCTCTGGAAACAGCGCGTTAGGATGTGCCGGATGCACACTCGGTGAGGGCAGACTGGGAAGCCGGGCTCTGCAGCAGAACTGCTCGGAGCCGACAATGCATGTGGGGCCCTGGGCTGTGCCTGGCTCCCCATCTCCCCACTGTCCTGGGGAGCTTCCCTTTGACCCCCAAATTAGCCAGGGGCGGGGCCATCCTGCACCACTGTTGGCTGCCATGGTCCTCTGGATCCCCCGGGGCACAAAGGAGACCCCACTCGCTAGGAGGTAGGGTGTGTGTGTGTGTGTGTGTGTGACGCAATGTCACCAACAGGCCAAAACAATGAGGAGAGTTTAATGTTTGAAACCTGCCTTGACACATATTTAAAGGAGCCATGGAGGTGGAGGAGAGGGTGGCACAACTTTTCTCCTAATTGTGCCTGATTTTTGCTGACATGATTATGATTGGCTGATACTATAAAGAGACACTATATATTGAACGCTGGAAATTGGCCTGAGCTCAGAGCATTCTGTTCTGCGGATTATCTCATTTAATCCTCCCACCCTTGGCCAAGCCACTCCATTCTCTGAGCCCAGGTCTGCGCAATAGGCACAGTACAGTGCCTGCCTCGCAGCTGGCGTGGCCGCTGGATGATAGGAGGTCTTTACAGAAACCCCCTCATGCTGCACCCCCTCCTCCCCTCCCCATCCCAGCCTTTCCCTCCCCCTCCCAGCCGGTGCTGAGCCAGGAGGCCATGCCTCCTCCTGCCCCGCTGGAGGCCAGAGCGCTCCACCTGCTGCCATCATGAGAATCAATGTCCTCCTGGAGGTCTGGCCTTTGGAGGTTTTCAATTTCCCCTGAAGCCGCGGCTTTCCACGGCGCCTTTATGCTTCCATTGATTGCTCGCGCCCCGCAAGCTTTGTTTCCCTGATAAATACCATTTGATAAGAAAATGGGGGACACTGGAGCCCAGAGCTGAGACCACGACCCTAGCCTTCTGGAGGCAGGACATCCGTGCTGAAGGGGCTTCGGCCACCACTGGGCGCAAGACCCTTGTTTTTACAGATGGGGATACTGATTAGGGGGGGCACAGGCAGCCAGAGACAGGCCTGAGCATTAGCACCCCCACTTTGTGAATTAGAAATGGAGGCACAGAGCCAGGCCCAGAACCCAGGAGCCCGGACATGCAGTCCAGTGTGCTTTCTACTTCGCCCCTTGATGCGCAAAGGCTTGGGAGGTCCAGGGAGGAGCACGCGGCCGGGTCAGAATCGTTCTTCCTGCAGCAGGTGTGCATCCCGCCGAGACGATGTCTCGGACCCCCTGGGTTGTCCTCCCCGAGGAGCGCTTTCCACTGAACTTCCCCACGGGTGTTTCTATGAACGTGGCTCTTGGCTTCGGCTTGGGAAAGGTGCCCTCGCAGCTGCTCCCACAGTGCCCTGTACCTCCCTCCCTGAGTCCTCACTGGCTTACAGAGCCCGCATCTGCGTGGTTCATGAGGATCCATTCTTCCTGCATCCTGCCCCATCTAACAGAAGGGACAACTGAGACCCGGAGACCGCGACAGCCGCTGACCTGTGGGAGGCTCTGACTTCTCCCCCAGCTCCATTTGTTCCCATCCACGTGTCAGAGCCCCTCCAAGGTGCCCGGCCCGTGAGGGCCCAGTGGTGAGGGCAGCTCTGTCTTCATGAGGTCAGGGTGTCAGTGCTGATAGAGGAAGGGGGTCCAGAGAGGAAACCCTCAGAGGCAAGAACACACCAGTCACACCTCAAGGTCAAGGGTGGGAAAGGAGAAGGCCTGCTGCCAGCACAACAGGCATTTTAGCAGGTGGTGCCCGGGACAGCCCCTCGGTGTATGTGCATGTGAGCGCGCGCACCCAGGCACACACATGCACACACGCACACACGTGTGTGCACGCACACACACACACAGCTCCTCACTGGGATGCCGGGGCCGAGGCCCTGCACTCACCCATGACGTTGAGGAAGATGTTGCCCGATGCCAGGACCACCTTCTCCCTCGTGGCGCGGTCGTAGATGCCCACGTGGCACTCGTAGGGACCGTTGTCCGAGACGCGGACCTCGGGCAGCCTGGGGGAGGCAGAGCAGCAGGGTGAGGGCCCGTGATCTGGGGCTGAAAGGCGCCACCCCCAAGCCCCACTGTTCAGCCTTCGCTGAGCAAACGCTCTTGGATCATGGTCGCGCCTGCTGGGCTGAGAGGAGGAGCCACATTTATGGAACGCCGACTGTATGCGGCCTGTGCTCAGTGCTTCCGAGGGCGGGGGTGAGGCTGTGTTCAGCCGAATTAAATCTGTGCTCCTTTCGGCTTCATGAACTGGACGGCAGGGGTGCCCACCCGAGGGGCCTGGGGATGACATGGGTCCGAGGCACCTGGTGTGTGGCACAGGCTCAGAACTGCGACCTAGCGCATCGCCTCCGTGGCCGCCCTGCATGTACGGATTGTCATTCCCATCTCATAAACGTGGAAACTGAGGCTGTAAGGGGGACAAAGTGGCTAACACGAGCTAAGGTGGGAATTTGAACGCTGCCCTACTGTCACTTTATGCCCAGATCTGGGGATTTGAGGAGAAACGCAGTAGAATTCTTGTCTTCAAGGAGCCCCCGCCCCCGTGGACGAGGAGGGAGGGCAGCCGATCATCGCTCCCAATCTCGTGGGAAAGGGTGGGCCAATTGAGCACAGAGGGAGCAGCGGCTTCTGCCCCAGGTCGTCAGGAGGGCCTCTCGGAGGAGGTGACCCGTGGGGACAGGAGAGACCCATTCAAACCTTACTCCTCTAACAGTCCAGAGAGTAAATATTTTAGGCTTTGTTGCTTTTACAGTCTCTGTCCGTGTAGAGTAAAAGCAGCTACAGACAGGGCCTGGGCAAATCAGTGTGGCTGTGTTCCAATAAAACTTCATTTATTGCCATTGACATTTGAATTTCAAATACTTTCTTGTGCCCTGAAATCTTCTGTTTTTGCTATTTCCCATCATTGGAAAAAAAAAAAAAGGAAAATACATTCTAGTTCACAGGCTGTTAAAAAACAACAACAGCTGGATTTGGCCCACAGGCTGTAGTTTGATGATCCTTGTTCTAGATCAGTGATGGCAAACCTATGACACGTGTGTCAGAGGTGACACTCGAACTCATTTTTTTGGTTGATTTTTCTTTGTTAAATGGCATTTAAATATATAAAATAAATATCAAAAATATAAGTCTTTGTTTTACTATGGTTGCAAATATCAAAAAATTTATATATGTGACACGGCACCAGAGTTAAGTTAGGGTTTTTCAAAATGCTGACACACCGAGCTCAAAAGGTTCGCCATCACTGTTCTAGATCCTTCTTCAGGGTGTGCTAAGAATGGGCTGCTACTCGGTTCTCTCTCCCTGTGGAAAATGCCGGCAGGGCGGCTCTCTCCTCACTCCTGCGTGGGAGACCCCTGTCTCTCTCTGAGCCTCCGTTCTCTCATCTAAAATATGGGGCTGATACTTCCCAGGATCTCAGTGAGGATTAAATTAGACGCAGTCCCGGCCAGACCTCTGTAGGCACAAAAGTGGCCTTGAGTGGAGAGGCACTGTCCCCTGCCGTCCCTTCATCCTGCGATGCCCTGAGAGCCTGACCTGGAGTTAGAGGCCACTAGCGGCTACATCAGGAAATCTGTGTGTCCTCCTGCCAATTCCAACCTTATCTGGGTCCAGTCTCGCAGCCAAAAGGGGGTCTATTCTGGCCCCAGCTTAGAAGTGGGGTCACGTGATTGGCTCTTAGAGGTTCTCACGCTGCAGCAGGAAAGTGGGGGAAGAAGCTCAAACTTACAAACACCTAGTAAATGCCGAGCCCATTAAACTGGCCCAACAGTCCCGTTGGAGAGCCCCCCTGGGGGGCAGTGGCTAAGAGCACAGGCTCGGGGTGTCCGTCCCAGCCCTGCCACCCGGAGAAGGGAGGCTCCTCAGTCCAGTTCTTCGCTCCCACCCATGGCGGACACATTTTCCACGGTTCCCGGCTTAGCCTCTCTCTCCCCCATCTGCTTCTGCTGAGCAATCTAACCTCAGATTTACGCCTTCCTCCTCTTGTTTCTGCTGTACCCCCCGTTTTTGTCTTCCAGCTCCATTTCCTATGATTCACTACCCCCCCCCCACTTCCCCCTCGCCACCCCACACCTGGGCCCCAGCCTGGATTTCCATGGCTGCTGTCTCATTGAGCGGATCCAGCTCCCCTTCCTCCCACCACCCAGCCCACATTAGCATAAGCAAACACCTTCATTTACATAGAATATACAGAGGTTGACATCTGGTCCACCGACTGTCATGAAAGACTTAAAGAACAGGGAGCTTTTCATCAGGGAAACGGGGTGGAGGACGCGGCCTCCCTCTCCTCCCTCCCTGGGCTCTCAGGGAGCACAGTGACCTGGAAGCAGCAGGGAGCTCTCTCTCCCCTCCGGGAAGTGTTTTCTTTGTTAGTAACTCTAGACTGAAAAAAAAAAAATAGCCTCCCTCCCCAGGGGGCACTGCTGACAGTGACAGTCACCACAAGCGACATGTTTAGGTGACACTCATAGGTGTCAGGGATCGAGGCTACTGCCTAAGCGACGGCGTGGGCGACAGGTGTGCAGGCGACACGCTCCGGTGCCTGCTCTGCAAAGAAACTGGCTCGGGGGACCTGTGTGGCTGGAAGGCACCCGGATGATGTAATCAGAGGATAATGACATGGTTGACACGCAGGTGGGCATGTTCAGGTAGCCGCCGCATTGGTGATCTGCGCAGATGTGCTTATGTGCTAGCGACACAGGTGACACGTTTAGGCAATCGCTACGATGATGACATGCTCAGGCGACAGTAACATAAGCAGTATGTCTGGGTGACACGTGTGGGTGACATGACGCAGATGGTGCAGAAGACAGCTCAGGGGACACCTGGGTGGGTGCTGTATGAGGAAGGCAGCATCTTACGCAGCTGCTCTCCCGCCTCAGATGTTCCCTCTCCTGGTTTCCCAGGCCTCACAAATGGTCTAAGTCTCACGGCAGGGCTCCATCCTTCATCTCCCCCATTTCTCTCTCCCCAGGCACAGTCAGGGACCGCACCCTGGGGTTCGGCCTCCTAAATGGATCCTGCGCTATCCACTTGCCCCCACCTGCACTGCACATCGCTGCTCACCGAGACAGGGAGGAGGACAGATAACCGGCTTTCTGCCCCTGCCCATCTCCCTCCTGATCGGCTCTCCAGGCAGCACCCAGAGGGTCTCAAATGCAAATGGCGTTCATGGTACTGCCCCACCCAACGCCCTTCAAAGGCTTCTCTCTGCTCCAGGATAAAGACCAGGATCCTGATCTTGGCTAAGAAGGGCCGCACACGCGGTCTCCAGCCACACTTCAGCCTCCCCTTCGCCAGCTACAGGGGTGTTCTTTCCATCGCTCCTGGGTGCCAAGTTCTTTTTCTAAAACGCACACTTTTTATTTTGGAGTTATTTTAGGTTTACAGAAAAACCGCACAGAAACTAGAGAGCGCCCCACACCCTCACCAATTTCGCCCGCTGTTGGCACCTCACACGACCGCAGTGCCATCGTCTGCGTAAGAGACCCACGTCGACATGTCACTGCTAACTCAACTCCAGATTTTACCTGGATGCCACCAGCTTTTCCTTTTTCTGCCCCAGAATCCCATCGGGGTCCCTCAGAGGTGACACTCACAGGTGACTTTAGCCACATTCCCTTTATGACTCAGCATGTTTGCTGACAACATTCTCCTTTCCTGAGAAGATGGCATTTTCTTCCCCTGGCACAGCCTTCAAGTTACAGAGCAGCGGTCAGTTCTCAGTGACCTCCTGGACTGGGAGGGCGGGCAGACTGCTGGCATCGATGGCCAGGACGGGTGGCCTCCCTTATCCCTGCTTCTTGCCATGTGCGTTGCAGTTCCCCCTGTCTAAGGGTGGAGTCTCTTTCCCCTGCTTGGCCCTGTGACTTGTCTCAAAAGAACCCCCACCTCCCCCACTTTCTCCCTTTTTCTGCCCCCAAAACAAGACTCTGAAGGAAGATGAGGGCACATGGAGAGAGGCCCCATTGGCCCAGCCCTTCCAGTTAAGGTCACATTCAGGAATGTGCCTAGCCAACCCCTAGCCTCATGAGCAATAATACATGGTTGTCGCTTTAAACCATCCAGGTTTGGGACCGCTTGTTATGCAGCAATAGCTAACTGATACAGCAGGTCTCCTCATAGCTCTGCTTAGTAGTATTTTTCTAAATTGTAACTTAACCGGATATGTTGCGACTCTCAAATGCCCTCCCCTCCTGGCCATGCTCAGTAAGCTCCATGAAGGCAGGGTCTGCATCCGTCTGGTTTACCAGTGTATCCAGGACTTGCACAGAGCTCATCATCATGGTAGGTCCTCAATCAATATTTGTTACATGGATGGGTGGTGGCTGTAGTGTGAGCATGGAGAACCCTGCCTCCCCCTGTGCAGAAACCAGGGCCAGCCCCTCCCCACCCCAGGCAGAGTCTAGTTCTTATCTTCAGATCCAGCCGCCGCCAAGCCACAGCTTTGATTTGGACCAATCCGCCTCAGTGCCTCATCTGAGCTGGTGCCTTCAGCGTTATCCTTCCAAAGTGGATTAAGCGGCCCAGAGACCCCTTTTCCCCAGACTTGAGTGGCATTGATCTGCATGCGGAATAGAAGGCCTTCGCAGATAGCAGGGCCCCGCGGGGGCTGGGGAGGAGGCCTACTCTCATCAGCTATGGGCTGCGATCAATAAACTATTAATAACGGCAAAGGTTTCTGGCGAGATCAGTGTAATGCAGGTTAGTGGCTGGAGTTTACCAACACTGACAGCGGCTCTGAAGGGTGAGTAATTGTGGTTTTGAAAAGCTGGGCTCAGAGATGGCGGGGGCCCCATTGGCTCTCTTCGTGGCCCCTGTGGCTCAGCTGAGGCCATGCAAGGGCTGGTCATGGGGGCTTCTGCCAGGCCTGGGGCCAGGGCTGTGGGCTGCCCACCCTCGGCACAGCATGTATGCCTACTAGGTGCTGTGCCCCATGCTGAGCCTTGGTGGAGGTGGATGCATAGCTACCGAGGATGTGACTCCTGCCTCCATGCCTTTG